GGGCATATACCCAAAAGATTATAAATCATGCTGCTATAAAGTCACATGCACATGTATGCTTCTTGTGGCACTATTCACAATAGCAAAGACTTGGAATCAACCCAAATGTCCATCAGTGACACACTGGATTAAGAAAATGTGGCACATATACACCATGGAATACTATGCAGCCATAAAAAAGGATGAGTTCATGTCCTTTGAAGGGACATGGATGAAGCTGGAAACCATCATTCTCAAACTATCGCAAGGACAGAAAACCAAACACTGCATGTTCTCACTCACAGGTGGGAATTGAACAATGAGAACACTTGGACACAGGGTTGGGAACATCACACACCAGTGCCTGTTGTGGGGTGAGGGGAGAGGGGAGGGAGAGCATTAGGAGATATTCCTACTGTAAATGACAAGTTAACGGGTGCAGCACACCAACATGGCACAAGTATACATATGTGACAAACCTGAACGTTGTGCACATGTACCCTAGAACTTAAAGTATAATAAATACATACATACATACATAAATAGGTATTAAAGGAACACACCTCAAAATAAAAAGAGCCATCTATGAAAAACCCACAGCCAACATATTGAACAGGGAAAAGCTGGAAGCATTCCTCTTGAAAACTGACACAAGAAAAGGATGCCCTCTCTCACAACTTCTATCCAACACAGTATTGGAAGTCTTGGCCAGAACAATCAGGCAAGACAAAGAAATGAAGGACATCCAAGTAGGAAGAGAGAAAGTCAAACTATCCCTGTTTGGAGACAACATGATTCTATATCTAGAAAATTCCATAGCCTCGTCCCAAAAACTCCTTAAGGTAATAAACAATTTCAGCAAAATTTTAGGATACAAAATCAACATACAAAAATCACTAGCATTCCTATACACCAACAACAGCCAAGCTGAGAGCAAAATCAGGAACACAATCCCATTTACAACTGTCACAAAAAGAATAAAATACCTAGGAATACAGCTAACCATGGAGGTGAAAGATCTCTACAATGAGAATTACAAAACACTGTTTAAGGAAATCAGATGACATGAGCAAATGAAAACACATTACATGCTCATGGATACGAAGAATCAATATCTTTAAAGTCACCATACTGCCCAAAGCAATGTACAGATTCAATGCTATTCCTTTCAAATTGCCAATGACACTCTTCACAGAACTGGAAAAAAATACTTCAAAATGCAGTGGTATCCAAAAAGAGCCTGAATAGTCAAAGCAATTCTAAGCAAAAGAACAAATCTGGAGGCATCACGTTACCTGCCTTCAAACTATACTACAGGGCTACAGTAACCAAAACAGTATGGTACTGGTACAAAAACAGACACACAGACCAATAGCACAGAACAGGGAGCTCAGAAATAAGGCCGCACACCTATAATTATCTGATCTTCAACAAAGTTGACAAAAACAAGCAATGGGGAAAGGTGCTGGGATAACCTGCTAGCCATATGCAGAAGATTGAAACCGGACTCCTTTCTTACGCCAGATACAAAAATCAACTCAAGATAGATTAAAGACTTAAATGTAAAACCTAAGACTATAAACATCCTGGAAGACAACTAAGGCAACACCATTCTAAATATAGGAATGGGCAAAGATTTCATAACCAAAAGCAACCACAACAAAAGCAAAAATTGACAAATGGCATCTAATTAAACGTAAGATTTTCTGCAGAGCAAAAGAAAGCATCAACAGAGTAAAAGAACAGTCTAAAGAATGGGAAATAAATATTTGCAAACTATGCATCTGACAAAGGTCCAATATGCACCATCTATAAGAAACTTTAATTTACAAGAAAAAAAGCAAAGAACCCCATTAAAAAGTGGGCAAAGGACATAAACAGACACTTCTCAAAAGAAGACATACACACGGCCAATAAACATATAAAAAAAAAAAGCTCAGCATCACTGATCATTAGAGAAATGCAAATCAAAACCACAATGAAATACCATCTCACACCAGTCAGAATGGTCATTATTAAAAAGTCAAAAAATAACAGGTGCTGTCAAGGTCGTGGAGAAAAAGAAATGTTTATACACTGTTGATGAGAGTATAAATTAGTTCAACCATTGTAGAAAGCAGTGTGGTGATTCCTAAAAGACCTGAAAACAGAACTACCATTTGACCTAGGAATCTCATTATTGAGTATATACCCAAAGGAACATAAATCATTCTGCCATAAAGACATATTCACAAGTATGTTCACTGCAGCACTATTCACAATAGCGAAGACATGGAATCAACCTGAATGTCCATCAGTGGTAAACTGGAAAAAGAAAATGTGATCCACATATGCATACATATACATATACATATATATACACATATACATATACATATACACATACACATATATATACATGAAGGTGCCACACTTTTTGCATTTTTGTTTTTTGTTGGTGATTTTGCTGTTTAAAGGGTCCCAATGCCTAGCACTGAAGTGCTATTTAGTGTTCCTAAGCACAAGAAGGCTGTAACACACCTCATAGAGAAAATGCATGTCTTAGATAAGCTTTGTTCAGACATGAGTTATAGTGCTGTTGGGTGTGAGTTTAATGTTAATGAATCAACTGTATATATTAAATAAGGTGTCTTTAAACAGAAACACATATAAATCAAACTTACGTATTGATCAGTCGACAAAAATGTGGCCAGAGATTGGTGGGAACCCAACCCTGTATTTCCTCTAAGACCAGTGGTTCAGTATTCACTAATTCAGTGTTTGTGGTGACTTTATAGTCATAATTACTGTGAATAATGAGAACTGACTATAAATAGAATAGATCAACTGTTCAGTGATTAATTTGCAAATGTTCAAATTGCCCATAAAAACACAACTGTAAAAATAATTGTTATGAAAACACAACAGTAAAAATAATTGTTAATACCTTTATGTTTAGATAACATTTTATAATTTCTCACTGTTGGTACAATTGTGAAACTGCCTATGATATATAAGACCTCAGACACCTAAGAAACAAAGAGATAAAAATATGTTGGAACGGGAGAATATCTCAAAGATGGCCTAGCACCTCTACTGTTGAAGCTATTTTTCTCTAATGTTTTGGAATGGCACTGATGCCATCGCTCCTTTCTTTACTTCCTTCAGGCCTCTATTCATGTGTCATCTTATCACTGAGGCATTCTCTGATCCACCTTTATAAAGAGCCCTTCAACTTCCATTCCCTTTACTCAGCTTTACTTTTCTCCATTGCTCTTATCATCATCTGACATATAATCAATCTATTTATTTGCTATTGTTTATCTACTCCAACAAGATTGGAACCTCTATAGAGGCAAGTGCTTACATTTGGCACCTAGAACACTGCCTGGAACAAAGCAGGCATGCAAATAAATATTTGTTAAATAAACTAAATGAGAACAATAATGGATTCATAGAAGCTCACTGCATGTAAAAATTAGTCAAATATGGCACTAGGTATCCTGGAATAAGGACATAAAATACTTCAGAAACTATATCTTTGCTGCTAGAAATATTTTTTTAATAAGACAAACTGGAATTGACTTCCTAATTCCTACACTTTGTAGTAAAGAAAGGCCATCTATAGCCTCTATGCATGTAACTTTAAGAAGGGTTTCCTTTGTATTAAAAAATCCAAACTTATGAAATAAAGAAAGTAGAGGACTTTTTATATATAGAAGAGATTTTTTCATTTAAAAATGGCTTTATTTCAGAAATTCTTTAGATGGTAAGCTTTCCTGGAATATAGCAAGTATCATTTACCAAAAATATATGAGCTACACAAAAAGTTTTAGGCTCATATCTGCTAATAGAAGTAGTGCTATTTTCGTAAGCTCACACTTAAGATAAAACGTTTAATCCCTCTTCCATACTTCCATCCCAGCAGGGGTACTATTCCCCTACTCTCTATTTGAACTGCCATTTTAACCTGGTTTCTTACCAAACGATTCATCTATGATAAGAGTTTGATTTTGAGTGAATAAGTATCAATATCATTCTGAAAAAATTATGTTACTACTAGTGTTGGCACATATTAGCACATACACACATGCAAATACCTAGCCAACCATAATAATTCACGCAAGACAGATTACCAATGTCCTCCCCTTACCCTAATGAATGAAATGTATCCTTCTATAAATTAGAATGATGCCTCAGACCCCACAACTGTCAAAAATATATGCTATACCTGTGTGAATTGGTCACAGTCAACAACGCGGAAAGTTTTGCCATAAATTGTGATGTTTATTCCTCGATTTAGGTCTTTCCAATGGTAATGGTCACCCCGGTCATTCTTGGCTAGCCGCTGGCGTTTTATTAACTTGCCTTGAGGGATTCCAGAATTTTCTACAACAGGCTCTATGACAGACATGCTGTCATCTTCTAGATAATAGTAAATGTTCACTTGACGGATCCTATACTGTTCCTCAGTTGACATAGGAACATCTTCTTGGAAATAGGCATCGAATTTCAGTACCTGTAACATGCAAGGAAAGGAGAAATGGTGTACTATTAGCTTGTCATAGTCATCTGAAAAATATCAAGTACCCTCCTCAAAACAGAACCACACAGGGAGATTTTAACACTCATCACTCCTATCCTGTAAATCTTGATACTCTAAAACTACAGACACTGCAAACTATAGTCCATGGGACAAATCTAACCTGCCACCTGTTTTTTTATGACCTGCAAGCTAAGAATGGGTTTTACATATTTAAATGGTTTAAAACATTTAAAAAAAAATTCATAACACATGGAAATTATACAAATTTAAATTTTCAATACACAAATAACTATGTAAATAATTTATGCCTTTTTGTTAACAGCTGCTCTCCCATTACAAGGGAAGAGTTGAACAGTTGTGACAGAGATACACAGACTAAATTGTGTCTCCCTCATCCCCAAAATTCATATGTTGAACCCCTAACCCTCAATGTGACTATATTTGGAGACAGGATCCTTAGGAGGTAATTAAGGTTAAACGAGATCTTAAGGATAGGGGTATGCCACCTTTAATCCCATAGAACTGGTGACCTTAGAAGAGAAGGAGAAAAGAAAGAGAGTTACTTCCCTCCCCTAACTCCCACATGTACACACCAAGGTAAGGCCACATGAAGACATAGCAAGAAGACCGCTGTACGCAAGCCAGGAAGAGAGCCCTCACCAGAATTCAAACCAGCTGGCACCTTGATCTTGGACCTCCAACCTCCAGAACTGTGAGAAAATAAATTCTATTATTTAAGCCACTCAATCTGTGGTATTTTGTTGTGGCAGACTATGCAGACTAAAACTACTGCAATGGCCAAAATATATGCTATCTGCCCCTTTACAGAAAAAGTTTGCTGACATCTGCTTTAAATACTCACAATGTGTATAAACTATTTATTGCATACGTTCCTTGGTGAGAATACATCTCAAAGGACTTTACTAGCTTCACCTCCATGTCAAAAGTCCCTCCGAGAACTTCTGGGAAGAGTAAAAAATCTTGGACAAGATTGTGATTTTTGGTTTCAAACTGAAAATGAGGGTTAATTGCACTTCTTTAGAAGTGTAGTCCTTTGTAAATATATATTAATTACACTCATTATTATAGACTTTATATGAATGACTTTCATATCATCAATCCACTATAGAATCTTCGCACGGTTTGTATATACCCTCATCATCAATCCACTACAGAATCTCTAAAAGGTGTGTGTAAATACCCTCATTGTGCTCAGGAACACATATATTACATCAAGCAAACCATTGGTCCTCTGGGGAGCATCATCATCAATGTGAAGTCAAAATGGTATCAATATATAGATTATACATTTAAAAAACATAAAACATGCCAGGCGCAGTGGCTTACGCCTGTAATCCCAGCACTCTGGGAGGCTGAGGCAGGCAGATCACCTGAGTTAAAGAGTTCAAAACCAGCCTGATCAACATGATGAAACCCCGTCTGCACTAAAAATACAAAAATTAGCCAGGCATGGTTGTGGGCGCCTGTAATTCCAGCTACTCAGGAGGCTATGGTAGGAGAATCACTTGAACCCAGGAGGTGGAGGTTGCAGTGAGCTGAGTTAGCGCCACTGTACTCCAGAGTGGGTGACAGAGTGAGACTCCATTTCAAAAAAATAAAAAATAAAAACATAAAACAATATTATAAAAAGCATATATTGACATGCTTTGGGATTTTTAAATTTCTGTTATTTTGTCTCCGTTTTTAATGTGACTTTTCAAGGAGAGAAAGTATTAGAATGGGATTCTAAGCAGGCAAGATAGTTTACCCAAGCCTCTACTAGAATAAGAGGAACAAATCAGGAAGATCCTAAATGAAACATAAATATGGCTTGATAAATGGAAAGATGAAATAATTCTATACATGGGCACTGTTACTAAAAAAAAAAAAAAAAAGGTAGAATAACTACTGTGGAAAAACAAGATAAAAACCAAAAGAGAACTGGCAATTGCACAGAAGAAATATGAATACAATGAAGGCCTTAAAACTCATCATAAAAAGATAAAATGGATAAGTGCAGTAGAATGTTTGAAGGAGAAAAATAACACGGTAAAAACAAAGGACAGATAATGTTGAAGTAATATTTTAGATCAACTGCAAAGAACTGAAAGTGGGGACATGATCATAGTAATTCATATATAAAATGGCCTGTATCTGAGCCATATATTTATAAATACATAAAATGTTTAAGCTGAACCGATCAGCTAGTCGAACCCCACTTATTTTATATAAGGAAGAAACTGAGACCCAGGGTAGTAAGGTGGCTTGCCTGAGGCCATGTAAGGCGTTAGGGTCAGAGCTGGAACTAAAATTCAGACTATTAACTCACAACCCAATATTCTCTCCACATATCTTGCTACTTCTCAGATAACAGATGCTATAGTGGTTCCAAGAAGGAATCCGTGTGAGCTAAAGTAGTCAGAGAAAGCTTAACTAGGAGGAAACAGGAGACGTATTAGACTTGAAGAGTGGGAAGATTTTAGATCAGCAGAGGATACAAGGGGGGGTTGTAAGCAGTGGCAATAACAGAAGCAGAGGAAGGAAACCCAGCAGCAGTATGCAGGCTATGATGGAGGAGGAAGTACTAGGCATGGCAATCAGATTGAAAGCCCCTTGAATAGTCCAGGTCTGCAGTAATTAATTAGCAGCAATGGAAAAGCAGAAGTCTGACTGGATTGATAGTAAGGAAGTGGGAAGATGGAAGCAGATGAGATATTAAGGAAAACCCAGTGCTGGCGATATAGTGGTGATCCCATAGAAATGTAAACATAAGGAGAAGATAATGTGGGTATGGCAGATGGTGAGTTTGATTTTAGACTTACCGAATTTAAATGACAGCACAAGTTGTATACTCCAGGGGGTAATTCATACTGCAGGACTGGGTTTAGGGGAAGAAGTAAATATTACAGAACATTCAAGGATAATACAAACATTTTTGGCCAAGCAACTGAAAGAATAGAATTACTATCAAATTGATATAAAGAAGATGGCTGCAGAACAGATTTTGGGGGTAAGAAGACAAAATTGGGAGTTCAGTTTTAGATATGCTTAATTTGAGATATTTATTAGACATTCAAGAGGAGATGTCAAATAGGCATTTATGTATACATATGTTTAGAGGACAACTTATCATCATAAAGAGGACATTTCAAGCCATGAACCTGGGCAACTCACCAAAGGAGTGAGAAGAGAATCACAGAGAAGATAACCAAAGATCGAGTCTGTGGCCACAGCCATGTTGTCAAACCATCTGTTTTCTAAGACTGGTGGGCATGAAAATGCCTATGGCCACAGGAAGTTGGCCTCAGAATGGGAGGCAAGGAGATATATAGATATATCTATATCAAGGAGATATAGATATGTAGATATATCTATATCTCCTTGATATATATGTGTGTGTGTGTGTGTGTGTGTGTAAGGTCTCAGGTAAAGAATATGCTAACCGAAAAGAATTACTTAATTGATTGTTAATTTTTATTTTTTATTTTTATTTTTTATTTATTTTTTTTTTTTTTTGAGACGGAGTCTCGCGCTGTGTCACCCAGACTGGAGTGCAGTGCGCGATCCTCGGCCTCCTGCAGCCCGCCTCCAGGTTCACGCCATTCTCCTGCCTCAGCCTCCGAGTAGCTGGGACTACAGGCGCCCGCCACCACGCCCGGCTAGTTTTTTTGTATTTTTAGTAGAGACGGGGTTTCACCATGTTAGCCAGGATGGTCTCGATCTCCTGACCTCGTGATCCACCCGCCTCGGCCTCCCAAAGTGCCGGGATTCACAGGCTTGAGCCACCACGCCCGGCCCGATTGTTAATTTTTAAAAGGCACTTATCTATTTATTAAGAACAGAATTAAGAGTTCTGTGCTCCTCCCACAAAGAATGACTGGGGGAGAAGAGTTAACGAAGAAAAGCTCTTTGGAAAGTTTACCTGGAATCATGGCAGATAGAAGGAAGGACTAGATTGCAGCTCCCACTCAGACAGGCAGAGCAGCGTGTGAAGGCTCACATTGTGAACTTTTGCTCCAGGATGACTGCAGGAGTAAATTAGGAAAGTGGAGAGAATCCACAGACCCTCTGAAAGAAGCAGATTGCTCCTGCAGAACCCAGGAGACACCCCAAATACTGTGAGTGCCCAAACCATGGAAGTGGGAAAGGGAGATCAACTGACCCCAAACACACACCCCCACTGAGGAACCTGAAGGTCTAGATTACAGGAGAAGATTCTGACCTTACCTGGAGCTGGGTCAATTCAGAGAGCCGAGTGAAATACAGGGGTAGAGGAAGCAGTGGGAAAAGTCTTGTGGTCTTGCTGGGGTCCCCTACCAAGCCATTTCTGCCTTGCTTCATAGGGGTACTTGGGGAGGGCAGCCAGAGGCACTGGGAAAAGGCCACAGGAAGAAGGGAACCTCCAGCTGAACTCTGTAACAATTTGAACCAATCAAGAAGTCTCCTGGCCAGAACTCAGGAGAGGGTGTGAATCCAGTGTGTAGATTCCACAGGTTGGGGAAGAAGGAAAGCCCCACTTGCTTTCAAAGCCGGGAGGCAGGTAGCCTGGGGCAAGTTCTCAGCCCTGCTCACCCACTGCCTGGAAACAGACTTGGTGCTGTTGGAGAGGGGCGGGACAGTGGGAGTGAGACTGGACCTTTGGATTGCATGGGGGCTGGGTGAGGTCTGTGACTGCTGGCTTTCGCCCCCTTCCCTGACAACCTTAAGTACACAGTAGAGGCAGCCATAATCTTCCTAGGAACACAACTCCACTGACCTCAGACCCTCACCCCTAGCCCCCACAGCAGCTGCAGCAAGACCTGCCCAAGGAGAGTCTGAACTCAAACACATCTTGCCCTGCCCCAACTTAATGGAAGGGTCCTTCCCTACCCACCCTGGTAACTGAAGACAAAGAGCATACACTCTTGGGAGTTCTAGGGGCCCACCCACTGCCTGTTACCCCGCATACTACCACAGCTAATGCTATCTTGAAA